ACCACCATTTCCTGTCCCTCTCTCTCTTGGCACAAGATGCCCCCCATTCCTGCGCTACTCCAGTCGGTGTAGAGCACGAAGGGGTCCTCTTTGCTGGGCAGCGTTAGGACCGTAGCAGTTTTCACTGCTTTGAGCAGTGCCTCCATTGCCCCCTGTTCTGCTTCTCCCCATTGCCATGCCTGCTCTTCTCTCAGCAGTCTGTTCAGTACCGCGGCCATCCTGCTGAAGTTCGGTATGAAATTCCGGTAATAGTTCAGGAATCCCAGCACTGCTCTGAGGGTGCTCCTGTCCTTGGGGGCAGGCACTCGATCCAGCACTTCCACTTTCGCCTGCTGGATGCCCATCTTCCCCCTTGCACTTCAAAGCCCAAGTACTTCACCAAGCTATTCCCAAAACTGCACTTCTTGGGGTGGCAGGTGAGCCCGGCTTCCCTTATGGCTGCCATTGTCTCACTCACGTCCTTCACATGCTGCTCCTCTGAGATGCTGAACACTACCACGTCGTTGATGTAGCAGGCCGCGGCTGGGACCTTCCTGAGTGCGGCATCTATGACTCGCTGGAAGAGAGGCGACGCATTCTTCATGCCGAAGGGCATAAATCACCATCTGGGCCGTGGAAGGCAGTCTTCTTCCGATCCTCCTCCCTGATCGGTATCTGATTAAAGCCCTGCCTGAGGTCCAGCGTGCTAAACACCACCGCTCCCTGTAGCCTGTCGAATATCTCTTCAGCTGACTGCATGGGGTACCGATCTGCCACGGTCACTTTGTTGAGTCCTCTGTAGTCCCCGCACATCCGCCAAGCAGAGACCTCCCCAGTTAAGTCCTTCCTCGCTGCTACTACCGTGGCTGCTGCATAGTCGCTGTCTGACCTTTGAATGAGACCTGCTGCTAGCAACTCAGCACACTTCTCCATGCAGATGTCCAGGTCCCCTGGGCTCATCCGTCTCTTCCTTTGGTATATCGGCATTTCAGTTGTCAGCTTCAGCTGCATTATGTGAGTATTGCACTGTCCCAACTCTTGCAGAGTATACGCGAAGGTGGTCCGGTGCTGCCTCAGCACTTCTTGCAGTGCTCTTGCATTCTCTGCCCCCATTCCTTCGCCTATAGGCCAGTCGTCCTCTGGCCCTCTCTCCCTTTTCTCATCTGCCTTCTCGTCTTTGTCGGGTCCAGACTGCTGCTGCCCTGGTGTCTCCTCTGCCGCGCCTGCTGCCTCAGCTGCCATGTATGCCCACCCTTCTACTATCCGTGCCTCTTGCTGCTCCTGTATCTCCTGCAGCTGCCTCCTCCTCCTCTCTGCTTTCTCCCCTTCCTGATGCATTTCACTGATCTCTATGTCTCTTTCTATATCCTTCCTCTTTAGGTGCATGCGAATTGTCTCCACTAGTCAGGTCATGACGTTCAGATCCATGGCTCGCCCCAGTGCTGCCCGTCTCTGCTGCTCGGTCACCTGTGGATGTGCTATTGCCCCCCACTTGTGCCCCATCGCCGACTCTCTCTCCTCGGCCGTGGGTTGCTCCCATTTGTTCTTCCTGACGTCATATATCATGCCTGGCCCCGGCAGGTCTCCCTCCATGACGAATCCTCTTGCCTCGGCGAATGACACTAAGGTTGGCAGTGCTTGCCTGGGCTTTCCTGGCACATTGCACTGATACTGTGAGGGGTGGTCTGGGGTGTGGACAGGTGCAGGTAGCCGGTTTGGCCCTAGGATATCGCTAACCAGTCTCGGTTCGGGCCGCTGCATCTGCGCCAGCGAGTGCCTGAGGCTGGCCTCGGACACCCCATTCTGCCAGTATCTCCTGGGGCGATGTGCCCTGGATCCCAACTGCGCCGCGTCTGCCGCCAAGCCTCTCCCCACCGCTGCCTTGATCTCAGTGAAGGCGCGCTTGACTGGTTCCCTGCGGCCGTCAGCGATGTCTACGTTCTCGAGGATGTAAAGGACTTCTCCTTGCTTCTTCTGCACCATCTCCAGCACCCGTTTCAGATCTCTGAATGATGCCCTTCTGGCGTCTTCCATCCCCCCCCCTTCTCCCGCTCTGGAGTACCCCTGACATTCCCACCCTGCAATTATCACGTCTATCTGCCCCCATTTGTCCAGCTGCTCCTCTGTGATGTCACGTACGTCGTCTACTGTAGCTTCTTCCTCCGCGGGGATGGCAGATGCCAGCAGTTGCTGCGGGTACTCCTCTAGCAGCTGCAGTGCGTGATGCCTGGCCATCCTTCTCACTACTGGATCCTTTTCCACGTGCACCCACTTCCTCACTAGGCATCCGGCCCTCAATACTGTTGCGAGCCCAGTGCCTATCCCTCCATACAACTCCACCACACACAGCGCGCTCTCCAGTGCCCACACTCTGGTGATACACTCCTTCAGAGAGGGCGGGTCTCCTCCCTGCCTCCTCCTCTCCGTCCTCACTTGGTATTCCTCCTCATATTTTTCCCAGCTCCAGTCGTCCAGTTCGTGTCCTAGGTCAGCTTGCTGCGCTCCATAGGCCTCTCGTGGCTCTTGCCTAACGAACTTGACCGGCAGAGTGCCAACCGAGCTCTCAGGATCCCAGTATTGCACACGGTATAGGACCTTCTCTTGCCAGGTACATATCGTTGCCCCCACTCTGTACAGCAGCTCCATTCCCACTAACACATCATAGTCCTCTGACTCCGATACCCCACAGCTCACTCGGATGCAGCATTCCTTCTCGGAACCTGGGCGTAGCACTATCTCTATTGGCCGCTGGGTGCGGGGCATCCACTCCGGCTCCCCCCCTTCTGCAGTCATGAGTAGTATCCCCCGTTGCACCAGTCTGCCAGGTAGGTCTAGCTTTAGCTGTTTGGCCAGCCCCTTTCCGATTAGCACATGGTGCGCGCCGGTGTCTATGATTGCTTGCCCCACTGGCAACCCCCCGACGGTCAAGCTCCCCTTCTCGGCTATTAGGACTGACGCCTGGCATACCAACCGCTCGTTAGGGTGCCTCCGCATTTCCGTGTTGCTGGTTCCTTCGTGCACGTTCCCTCGCGGTCCCCGCTCTCGGTTCATCACTCTCTCCCTGTTCGGCGTCCCCCGCGGCCGTAGATCGTCATCTCTTTCCCTCGGGAATGCCATGAACGCTCTCTCTTGTAAGTACTCCCCTTCTGCTTCCTCCTCCCCCTCGACCTCCTCATATGCTAGCATCGCTCGTGCCTTTGGCTCGGTCCTGGGCTTCGCCTCCAGTTTCAGCTGCAGCTTCTTAATTTCCGCCTGTAGCTCCTCTCTGCTGCCCGCCTCATCTTACCTCCTTCGGCTGTAGCAAGCTTCCTCCCGATGCCCCTTCCTCCCGCAGTTCCCGCATGTCGGCAGCTTCGGGCAGCCCCGCTTGAGGTGCCCAGGTTCTCCGCATTCGTGGCAGCGCCTGATATCTGTGCGGGGAAGTCCACCCGGTTGGGCCTCTGTCAAGGCAGCTGCCGCCCATGAGGTCTTTGGCTTACCCCGAGTCTCTCCATCCTCCAGATCTAACATCCTCTGTGCGTGCTCAGTTCGCTTCGCCAATCCGTACACCTCCTTGAGGGTGATGTCTGCTCCGACTCCGTACACCGTGTTTCTCACCACCGTTCGTAGCTCCTCCTCTAGGCCGCGCACAAATTTGCGCACCAGCAACCTTTCATCTCGGCTCTCCAGGTCCTCCGCCAACTCTCGGAGCCTGCAGTAGTAAGCCAGGAGAGACTCATCCCTCTTGCGCCGAAACTCCCAGAACTCTTCTACCCTCGCCTTAGTCTGACCAAGGAACTCCTTTTTGAGCAGCTCGACGAAACGCGCCGTCGGATTCGCAATCTCACCACACTGCAGCTCTTCTAGTATCTCATTGCGCGTCATGCGGTAGAAAGTCTCGGCTTCTCCTATTAGCGTCACCACCATCCGGCGGAAGAACTCAGCGGGATCTAGGCCGTCCCTTTCCCAGCAATACTGCACTGTCTCCAGCTGCATTAGGTAGTTTTTCAACGTGGGGCCGATCCCGGGGATTCCGGTGAAGCGCTCGGCCACTTCCAGTTTTGGCAGCGTCGCATTCGCCCATCTCTTCTCCTTTGGGGATTCTTGGGTCGACACTGTTACTGGTTGCATTGCGGCGCGACTCTCCACGATCTCTCGGTTGCTCGGCGAGCGGAATTCTTCTTCCTGACGACGGCGCAGCCAGTTTGCATGTCCCGTAGTCTCGTCTGCTCCCATTCCAGGCATCTTTGACGGTGTGTTGTCACGTCGCTGATCTTCCCATCTAACTCTAGCCTCCTTAGCCCATCGTAGATCGTGCGGGGTTTCTCCTGGATCGGACGCGATGTTTCGGGCTGAGTCCATTTCTCTCTCTCGTTGACGTTCGCGTTGATGCGCGGTTCGGTACGTGTCTGAAGATGGAAGCGTCACTCGATGCGTAGATGCTGAAACTTCTCCCTCATTCCCGGCAGTCGCTTCTGCGCGCCAGCTCGGCGCCGGCTGTGTAACCTCGCTTCCGTATCGCAGCCCCGATCGCAGTTTGAACCTATCCTTCATGCTATGCGTAAGCAGTTTCTTGCTTGTTTGTTGAAAGTTCCTAGCAAGAAGACCAGTCTCTCTCGTTCTCTCTAGGAAGGCTAACTCGGCTGGCTCTCTTCTCCTCTGACCAGCACTGGGTAGGATGGGCTTGCTCTGATTGGCTCCTCTGCGCGCAGTACCCTAGAGGTTGGCTATGCTCAATTCTTTGCTTAGAGTGGAAACAAACAAGCAAGCAAGTCACTCCTACCCCGCCGCTTGCCTAAGTGTGCATCATGTGGTTACCGTTGCCACCAACGGTTCCAACTCTTCGCTACCATCTTTGGTTCTCCCGCTCGTCACATTTCCCGTTCCCGCCTGTTCCTATTTAGCGCTACTTGCTATTGTCTACTTGTCTTGTTTTTATATTGCAACTTCTACTCCTACAATTAAAAGCATGACAGGCTCCACAATCCAGACAGCATGCTCACCCCTCACTGCGGCCCACATCAGCTCCTAAAGGTTGTCCACTAACACGACCCTATTGCGACCGACCCGTCCCCCTCCACGGCCTCGCCCACGTCCAGCCCTGTCCCCTCGTATCCCTCCTCCAAGTCCCTCAACCCCTTGTCCCGCACCTCATCATCACCACCCTCGTAGTCAGAAGCCTCTACCGCTGCAAGTTCAGTTGCAATGGGAGCGTAATCCTCATCCGCGTTAGCTCCCAGATGCGTGGGCCTAGGGACCCACAATGGCTGAACACCCCTCACCCACCCAGACTCCTCCTCGGCGTCAAATGCCGCATCCCTGCCCTCAGTCCCCAGTGGCGCCTGAACGGCACTCCCTAGCTTAGAGTTCGTTCCAGCCTCTGGAGAGGGAAGTTGGGCGAGGGAGGCACCATGAAGAGCTCGGCCTTGCTCATCCCCTCCTCCCCCCCTTCCCCCCTCGCGACTTGCGCGGTCTCACACATCACTTAATCGTGCGTAGAGGAATGGGTGGGGGGGCGGTTATCATTGCTACACATGTCACGCCAGCAAAGTGCGCGCTCAACAGTAAACTCGCACTTTACAGAAGTGCTTCCCCATGTGCAGAGCTGCCATTTGGAGGGCGCTCTCAAAGCGCAATAAGAAGATTTTGCAGCTGCCCTTTCACGCGCGCCAGCAACTACCAATGGGCGCTCGTGTAGCAGCGTCGTTCTGCGTGCAGCTTCGTTGTGGCTCGCGCTGCAGCCTTGTCGCACGCTACTGCGACGCAGTGACGAGTGCACACTGCTACGAAGCAGCACGTACTATAGCGTAGTGTCGTGCGTGCAACCGCGATGAGGCGCGCACGCAGCTGCGTGGTGGGGCGCGAGCTGGTGTTGCGATTAAACGTGTGCAGAGGTTATATGTGGCGGGCGCGCTTTGGCAAGGTGGCGTGCTCCCTACTGCTGATCTGGTTCATTGTTGTGCCTAGATGCCTAGACGTCTTTAACCTAAAAAAATCAGGTTTATCACCGAACAGGTAAATAATTGAGGTAATCAGAAATCTGCAAGCAAGGTAAGTTAAAGAGACGATGTGGTTAAGCGCTACTCCTCCCCTCTTCTGCCACCCTAGGTCGTCTTGCGCTGGCGTTTCTCTTCCCTGAGCTGTCAGACTTCACCGCTGTAGCTAACCTCATGACCCATCTGCGCTCCCTTGACTCTCGCTGCCGTGCTGCTCTCCGGCCAGAGATTTTGGCTGAGAACCAGCCCCCCATGTACCTCACTCTGTACTTCCTCGTGACTCACCTCCCTGACACCCTTCGAGCTGTTTGAGACCACTTCCTCTCCCTATACCCCACTAGTCTAACCCTTGCCTCGTTTGAGACTCGTCTCCTTGAGGCCGAGACCAGTGCCCGCGCTGTCGCTGCCTCCCGTGGCAGCCCCAGCTCCTCCATCGTTGAGGGGTACACTCCCTCCCTTCCAGCGTCCTCTGTTGCCTCTGCTGCTGCTGTTGACTTCCTCGGTGCTGAGGAGGTCGGCGCAGCGTCCGCTCCTAGCGGGGGGCGCAACAGGGGTGGGGATAAGAGGAGTGGGGGTGGTGGGGATGGTGGAGGTGGCGGAGGCGGTGGGGGAGACGGGGGTGGTGGGGGTGACGGGGGTGGCGGGGGTGGCGGAGGGGGTGGGGGTGGTGGTCGTGGTGGAGCTGGCGGGGGTGGTGGCACAGGTGCGGCATCTAGTGGAGCTGTGTCTGGTGGAGCAGCAGGTGGAGGTGGCGGTTCTGGGGGTGGACTGCAGCAGCAGCAGCAGCAGCTACGTCAGCAGGAGACTCCCTCGCCGCAACAGCTTCGTGAGAGCGTTGCTCAGCGAGGCTTCAGCGGCGGCAGTGGCTCGGTTATTGGTCCTTGCCCGTACATGCGTGGCACTGGCCGTCTATTCGGCGTCGTCTGCGGCAAGATGGGGCAAGGTGAGGGTCGCTGCTTCTGCCGCCTCGAGGACGCCTTCCGCGGCGAGTTTGGTGAGCAGGCCAGGGTCCCCGACTGGTTAGGATTGCTCAAGAGGGGCGTTGATATCTTTTCTCTTGATTGGAACAAGATTTCTGTAGGCATGTATGCTGTTGGTGCTAGTACTTAGGGTGACTATTATTCCAGTGTGCCTAGGTCAGTATGTGTAGAGGATGCTACTGTAGGTGCTTGTGAGCCTGCTAGCACAGGTGCAGTTCCTGCGGAGGTGTTGCTCTCGTTCACACTGGACTCCGGCGCGACTCGGTGCTTCTTTCGCGACTGCACCACCGTCACTCCACTCTCGGCACCTGTCCCTGTCACTCTGGCCGACCCCACCTCTGTCCCCTCTGGCTCCCTCACATGTCTCCACCTCCCCTTGTTCGCTACGAACTTGGTGAGTATCGGTCACCTCCATGATCTGTTGGTCACCACCACGATTCCTGGGGGCGAGCGCGTGGCGATCAGTACGGACACAGAGACTGGAGACCACCTTGCCACGTTCACACGGAGGCCTGGGTCTGGACTGTACACACTGCACACTGAGTCCCCTCAGGTGGCTGCGTCAGGTCAGGTAGCGGCGACTTGCTCGTGTCGGTTGCTCACGCACCAGTCTCTCCTCTGGCACCACCGTCTTGGTCACCCCTCCCTTCCGTGCCTCAGCAGCATGCATTCGCGTCACCTTGGTCCGGCCTCCCATAGACCATGCCCCCGCCGTCGCTTGTGCCGCCGTGCACTCCTCTGCAGACGCTGCACATGGACGTGTGGGGCCCCGCCCCCGTCCATGGGCCGTGCCGGGAGCGTTACTTTCTGCTGGATGTCGACGACTTCACGCGCTACACCATGGTGTTTCCCTTATAGCATAAGGGCGACGTCCGTGGTGTTTTGATCCCTTCGATCCGCGCTGTTCGTCTCCAGCAGAGAGCTCATTTCCGGCACGACCTCCCAATGCTTCGTCTGCACGCTGACCGTGGGGGTGAGTTTTCCTCCGGTCTCCTTGAGGACTTCTGTCGTGAGGAGGGCATCACCGAGTCGTTCACGCTTCCGGCCTCTCCACAGGAGAATGGGATCGCTGAGCGCCGCATTGGCCTACTCATAGAGGTTGCCCGCACCTCCATGATCCATGCGGCTGATCCCCATTTCCTGTGGTCGTCTGCGGTCCGATACGCCGCGCATTAGCCCAATATTTGGCCCCGTGTTTCACAGCCAGAGGCCTCGCCTATCCTCCTTTGGACGGGGGAGGTGAGCGATGCGTCGTTGTTTCGGGTTTGGGGCTCGCTTGCTCTTGTCCGTGATCCTACCGCGGACAAGCTCTCTCCACGCACTGTTTGTTGCGTCTTCCTTGGCTTTCCCACCGACGCCCCTGACTGGCCGTTTTACCACCCAGCCACCCGTCGCGTCCTTTCCTCCCGAGACGTCACCTTTGATGAGTCGGTCTGCTATTACCGTCTCAACCCCACCGCAGCTGCCACGTGCCCCCCCTCGCCTCTCTTCTTGCTTCCCAGTCCGCCTCAGGTAGACCCCCTCCCCCCTCGTCCTGCTCCTTCAGGTGTGTCTCACGTCACCCCATTCCCCTCGATAGTGCCTTTGGAGGTATCCTCATACTCCTCTGGCCTGGCTGAAGTGGGTGACCCTGCTGCTGATGACACAGCGGCCTCTCGCCGCCCGCCGCGCCTGGAGGCACCTTTTGGTTTTTCGACGCAGTCGTCTCTGCCTCTACTGCAGCCTATCGCTGTGGACTCCGGGGGCCCTGGTGTTGTTGGGGGTGCTGACTCTGGGGGTGCTGAGGGTCCTCGTGTTGGTGGGGTCGAGGGTGCTACTGCTGGGGGGGCTGGGGGTGCGTTGCAGCCACTGCCGCAGCGGCCGTTGTTCTGGGAGCAGCAGTCGTCGTCGCTCCCCCTTCCTGGTGCTGCTGCTGGAGGTTCTGGGGGTGCTGTCTCTGGAGGTCCTGCAGCTGGGGGTGCTGCCAGTACTGGTGCTGGAGCTGGAGGTACTGGAGCTGGAGGTGCTGACTCTAAGGGTGTTGGTGGTGCTGGAGCTGGAGGCATTCCTGGGACTTGCGGTCCTAGTGTTAGTGCTTGAGGAGCTGGGTCTGGGGGTGCGCTGCAGTCGCTGCCGCAGCGGCCGTTGTTCTGGGAGCAGCAGACGTCGTCGCTACCTGAGTCGGCGCTTCGCCACCTTCTCAGACTCCCGTCTGCCTCTGCTGAGCCGACGACCACTGGTACTACTCCTCCTCTGTTGTTTCCGCCGCCTGACCTGTCTCAGGAACTGTTGCCGCCTGACTCCCCTCTGCCCGCTCCTCCTCGTTACTCCCCGTTGTCTGTCTCCCCGACCGAGAGTCGGGAGCCTGCGTCTCGTGCTACCTCACCTGTTGCTCGTCCTCGTCTCTCTCGTGTTCGCCCTCCACCTATTCCCAGTACTCGCACCATGGCACTTCGTCTTTCCTCTGTTTCGCAGCCTGTTGTCCTGTCGGTGCCTCCCCTGTCTTCTCTTCCTGACGTTCTTAACCCTCTGTCTGACCTTGCTCATGTTGCCAATCCGACTGTCACTCGTTGTCTTGCTACGCTTGTGACTGGCCCTACTTTTTCGTCGGCTTCAGCGGTTGCCGTGGTCGCTGGGCTCACTGACTTTGCTGCTACTTGCCGCCTTGACTACCTTGCGAGTCTCGTTTCTGACGCTGCCTATCCTTCTCAGTGGCAGACAGCTATGGAAGCAGAGATGGCATCCTGGAAGTCCAGTGGCACCTACGTCGACGCAGTCCCACCACGTGGGGCGAACGTCGTTAGTGGCATGTGGATCTTCAGGGTGAAGCGGCCGTCGGGTTCACCACCTGCCTTCAAGGCGCGTTACGTTGCACGATGTTTCAGTCAGCGTGAGGGGGTGGACTCCTCCCATACCTTCTCCCCCACCCCGTAGATGACAACTCTTCGGGTGTTACTGCACGTTGCAGCACAGCGTGACTACGAGCTGCACTCGCTCGACTTCTCCATGGCCTTCATGTAGGGCAGCCTCCACGAGGAGATCTGGCTGCGCCGCCCACCTGGCTTCACTATGTCGTTTCCTGAGGGTACCCCGTGGAGACTCCGGCGGCCATTCTACGGTCGGCGTCAGGCGCCCCGCAAGTGGCACTGCATCATTCCGTTGTTTCTCATTCTAACAGCCCGACCTATCCTACATTTCTAGCCAGCTCGCTCAGTTCTCCAAGCGACCTGAAGGGGAGAACATGTTGGATCTGCATCGAGCACTGCAGTATTTCGTCTCCACCCCACGCATCTGACTCACCTACTCCACAATCACGACCCGATCATTCAACTTTGTCGCTGACCATGCTGCTGGCCCTGCAAGCTGACGATCACAAACAGTATTTTTGTTCCAACTCGAGACGACCTGACCAATTTCCTGGAATTCCTATAAACAATAAATATTGGCGCTCTCTCCAGCCAAAGCTGAGTTTATCGCAGCCACCGCAGCAGTTCGCAATTGCCTTTACATCTAGGAACAGGGCTGTC